GACCTGTCCATGTGTCTCTGTGATGGTCTGAGACCTGTCCATGTGTCCCTCGTGTCTCACAGTGACTGCTGGAGACGGACACCAGCTCGTGTCCAGCACAGGAAGTGGGTGAAGACACTTTATGATTCTGTGTCGTGGGTTCGAGAGCAGCTCCAAAGATTTACCGGAGAGTCCGAATCATCGGGAAGAGAACCTGAACCAGAGCATGACTCGGCACTTTCTGCGTTCAGTTTCTTCACTTAACGTTTGATTGAGAGAAACTGTTTTTGTGTTGGAGTCAAACTGACCCTGGATCAGCAGCAGCTGTTCGGCCGTGGCTCTTATCTGCGTTAATGTCTGTTTGATCACCCGGCGCTGATCCAAACATCATAAACACGTGAACTTTGACTGCGGCTGCAGAACTCGTAAACCTCGGCCTGTTTGTGTCGACGGCCTCAAGGACAGGAAACCGGTTCTGGTTCTGCTGCAGAGAAACGTTCTCACACTCAGAGCAGCTGTCAGGTATCACTCTCAGCCACCACCAGCTCCGAGCGCAGCGTGGCTGAACTCCTTCTGCCTTGGCAGCCATCTTGAACTGAGCGACATTGTTGATGTTGATTTCCTGGAAGTTCCACAAACATCTGTCCAGTGGTTGAGCAGATATTTTGCTAACAGCTGCAGAAGCTGACAGAGAATAAATCAGACGGTTTGTTTTGGTCCTTTTCACGAGGAACCAGAAAACTTCTTCTGGTTGGGCCGGCCCGACCGGGCCGCACCAGAACTCTCCTTCTGCACCATAAAGCCGTCACGAGCGCTCGCTTCACTCAGACTTCCTGTCCGCTCCATCATTCTGCGTCATTTCACTTTAAGGCCCAGATCGGCCCGTCTGCGGCGCTCAGAGGTCCATTAGGCCCGGCTCGCGGCCAGCTTCCACCTGAGCGGCTGCGTCTCCTTATCTGTCGTGATGGCGTGTGCGCCTCGCCCCCAGCGCGCCCACGCCGAGGCCGACGCCTCCTTCTCCCTTCCTGTTTGCCTCCTCAGCCTCGGAGCAGGGTTCAGACTTCCTGTTGGGCTCGTCATGAGGAGGTCGTCGGTTTGAAACCATGGAGCTGACGGTGAAGGACTACGTGTCTCTCTCCGTCTACACCTTCACCTTCCTGCTGGGGCTTCCCTCCAACCTGCTCGTCCTCTTCGTCTACGTCCGCAAGGCTCGAAAGCACGGCGCCACGCCCAACGTGGTGTACGCCCTGAACCTGTGCCTGGCCAACCTGGTCCTGGTGGCCTGGCTGCCCGTCAAGGCCCTGGAGACGCTGCTGAAGGACTGGACCCTGCCGGCGGCCGTGTGCCCCGTCTTCAGTTTCTTCCTGTACGCCTCGCTGTACGGCAGCTGCCTCTTCATCACCGCCGTCACCGTGGGGCGCTACCTCAGCATCGCCTTCCCCATCGTCTACAAGCGCTACCGCCACGCGCGGCTGTCCTGCCTCGTGTGCGCCGCCCTGTGGGTGCTGGTCATCCTGCACCTCGGCGTCAGCCTGATGGCCGAGGGCGGGGCTTACTTCGTGGGCGTTCAGGACGACGTGTCGGCGTGTTACGGCCACTTCAACGAGTCGCAGCTGGAGGTGCTGCTGCCGCTGCGCCTGGAGATGGCCGTGGTTCTGTTCATGCTGCCTCTGGCGGTGACGTTGTTCTGCACGCTGCGCTGCGCCACGCTGGTGTGGCGCTCCAACCTGCCCCCCGCCGCCAAGAAGCGTGTCCTGGCCGTGGCGTTGTCCACGCTGGCCGTGTTCGTCGCCTGCTACGCGCCCTACAACGCCTCGCACGTCGTGGGCTTCGTGCAGCGCGCCAACGTGGAGTGGAGGAGCACGGCCATGCTGACGAGCTCCTGCAACGTCTTCCTGGAGCCCGTGGTCCTGCTGCTGCTGTCCCCGGCCGGGTCCCGGGGCGTCCTGGGGAGGCTCTGCGGCCGGCGGAGCGATGGGCGGAGCCACCGAGGGAAACCCTCCAGCGCGTTCACCAACATCAAGGTGCTGCCTACGCTGTCTGGGCGGAGCCAGGCCGGCGGGACAGTGACGAAACCGAGTCCGAGCTGAGGCGGGCAGAACCAACAGACGGACCGGCTCAGATCGATGTCACCTTCAGAACCGAGATTTGGACCAGAACCTGAAGCGTCTCGTGTCAGACGATAATAAAACCACGTCTGACAGCAGCTAAAGGTCCGGTGGACCCGAACTAAAGTTCTAGAACCGCCGGGTCGGATCGGGTTTAGAGACAAACGGCTCCACCTGGTTTCAGTTTCAGGTGAATTTAATTTAATTCTTCTACGACTCGAAAGATCCAAAAACACTTTGAAGTTTTCAGCTTCTCTTTGAAGTTTTCAGCTTCTCTTTGAAGTTTTCAGCTTCTCTTTGAAGTTTTCAGCTTCTCTTTGAAGTTTCATCAAACCAAAAAGAATTCTTCAACATAAATCAACTCTGCTCGATTTGATTTGACGTTTTATAACTTGTTGCTGTAAAACCTGCTCAGGTTCCTCTTGTTGTTGTTTGTTAAAATATAAATAAAATTATTTACTTTGTGTTTACATTGTGACTCGAGTGCAGAGATTAAACTTCACGTTAATTTTATTTTAGAAACTTTAAAACGTTTGACTTTAATTTTGGACACGTCTTGAATTATAAAGATTAAATTTAGTTTTTACTTGTTAATTTGTGATTGATCTGATCAGATTAAATTATGTTTTAGTTCTTTCCTCCAATAATCTGCTTCTTCAAGTCAAAGTGAAGATTTTATGGAAATATTTTACTAACACAAGATCAAATTTAAATTTCAAAGTTCAGGAGAAATATTCAGTTTTAGTTTGTTGACAAAAATATTCTCCATAAATCTGTTTGAAGTTTGTGATCGTTTCAGATCATGGAGATTTAATTTAAACTCAAACAAACAAACAAACAGGAACTAGTCCGCTTCATTTGAGTTCATCTGGGTTTAGAGGAGGGTCCACGGTCCAGGTGGACTCCAACAGGGCAAATCCTGGTCTCTGACCCTGGTCTTCATGAACAGGATCTCAGCCATGGAGAGGACTTTGGTCTGGTCCAGGAACCACGTGGTCTCTGCGAGTGTTCTGGCTACAGAACCAACTGGACCCAAAGTAAGTCAAAGAAGGTCCAACAGGATTTTAGAAACAGGAATCTGGGTCAGAGCCAGGTCTAGATGAGCAGGAATCTGGGTCAGAGCCAGGTCTAGATGAGCAGAACCAGGTCTAGATGAGCAG